TGCGTGGGTGCTAAGCACGGCCATAATTAGCAGCCCACATAGCGTGTTGGGCTCCACGGTGATGCACAGGTAGGGCACGAGGAGCCAGATGGCTCGCAGCGAGGCGCCTGTGGTCTGTGGGGGCCACGGTGGAGCCGTCTGCGGCGCTGGCTCAGCGGCGTGGTTTCCAGCGTGGCACGGCCCACCGCTGTCAGTAATGTCGAAGCTGTCAGGTCGGCACGCTGTGGGGGTGCGACACTCTGGAGGGTACACGGTGCGACGTACGGCGGCAGGCGTCGTGGTCGGTGGTAACTCTCGCAGGTGGTCGTGCGCGGCGTGCGTTGCCTCATGCGGGGGCGGTGGCAGCCAGGGCACTGCAGCGGGGCTGAAGCCGCCACTGCGTGCCTGGGCCTTGCCAGCGGCCCTGTCGAGGATATGCTGCACGACGGTCGAGGACAAGCTGAAGACAGGGTGCCATCGAGGATATGCTGTACGACGGTCGACCGCAGGCGTCGTATTGAGTGATGGTAGCCCTCGTAGCTGAACTTGCATGCGGTGCGAGGCGTGGCCGGAGGACGCAGGAGTCAGCTCAGCTGCGGCAAAATCGGCGGTCGACTGCGATGCATGTGTCGTAGTTGACGAGGGCGTGCTCGTAGGAGACGTGCTGGTACTCGGCGTAGGCATAGTAGTAGCCGTCGAAGTCCCAGGGGGGCAGCGCGTGGGGCAGGGCCCCTGGTGCTGCTCAGGCCAGGCGCTCGCGGGGGCGCCCAGCAGCCCGGTGCCGCACGGACCAGCGGCGGCGGTGCTGTTCACGATCGGGTCCAAAATGGCGCTGTGATCGTATTTGTAGATGCTGTCATCGTAAAGGTAGAAGAACGTCCTACGCTCCGCATGTCGCAGGAAAGCCTCTCCTCCGTGCTGGGGCGCACCGCCTGAAGACGGGTGTGCTCCAGCCAGCGAGGGGAGGGCCAGGCCGCAGGCGAGGCGCCGCATGATGGCGAGGCCTGGCGGGCGGCGCGAGCGATGAGCCGAAAGCTGCGTGGCAGCACACGTCCTCATACACCCCTGAATGCTCATGTACATCGCTACAATCACGCCCCCTGCAAGACTACGGGTGTCCCTACACCAGAGAGCTTGCGCGTGCTGCTGCCAAAACAGACATGAGGTAACAAGAAAGAGATACGACGCGAAGAGGGGAGCGGTGCCTCTGAAGGCGCTTCCTCGGAGGGCTGAGGCGGGCTCTCTGAGGCACCTTCAATACGGGTCCTGGGTGGCCCGACCCTTGTCCTTGCCTTTGTCGGCCCCTGGGGGCCCCGTCCCTGGGGTGGCCTGGCCTGGCTGGTCGGTCGCACTGCAGGCTGCCGCGGGCTCGGCGGCCGCTGCGGCTTCCTCCTTCTTAGCTTCCAGAGTGGCCGCTTGTGGCAGGTGGATGGTGCCTCCCGTGAGGTGCCCGAGGAGGGTCTGGATGTCGCCGCGCAGTGCAGCGGCGTCGGCGGTTGCCGTCTGTTGCTGGGTGACGACGGTGGCAAGCCCCCGTTCCAGCCCTGAAACGTGCTCCGTGAGTGTGGCCTGGGAGGAGAGAACGCCCGCAAGCTGCATCTGCATGTTATCCACCGTGGTGGCTAGTAGCTCGTGCTGCTGTTCCATGTGCTGGATGCGGGTCGTGGCAGCATCGGGCGGTTTAGAGGCCGATGCGAAGCGCTCGCCGAAGGTGTTGAGTTCGTGGGAGGCCTCGCTGTATTCATCGCCTGATGAGAGGATCTCGACGTCAACGACGTCACCTGGTACTTCGGCGGCTGTGGCAGCGGCGCCTTCGGTGTGGCCCCCTCCTTCCGCCGCCGCCGTGCCAAGCCAGGGGTCGTGGCCACCTGGTCCTGGGGCGGCCGTCGGTTCAGCGGCTCCGTCCGTGCCGTGAGGGGGCGCAGAAGAGCTGCGGCCTGGGGCGCGGGGGTGGCCTTGCGGGCGGCGTGGCGTCACGTTTCCCGCTGGAGGAGCGGTGGCGCTTGGCTAAAGGCTCCTCCTTGGGGGTCAGGAGCGGTGCGACGCCCTTGCCTTTGGGCGTGGCAGTCATGAGGTCGTGGAGGTAGGGGCTCTGGGCCGCTTTGGTGAGGAGTGTGCCGGTGGCGGGGCTGAAGCCGCCACCACCGGCTGGCGGCGTCGCAGGCTCTGTGATGGTGGTAGGCGTGACGATGGTAACGTTGTCCCGCTTCGGCGCCACCTCAGCCAGCGGGGCCTCGGCGATGCTCCACGGGATGGAGCACCCCGCGACCTGCACCGTATAGGTGAGTGGGGGCCGATGGGCGCGCACTAGGGCAAACTGGGCCGCAGTGGCTGGGTCCCAGGCGGTGTGGTAGACCTCACAGTCCCATTTGACGGACGGGCCCGTGAGAGTCTTGGCGAGCTGGGTCAGCGTGGCGTGGCGTGCCGCAATGCCAGTGATGCGGTAGCGCGTCTTGGCGAGGGTGGCCTCGCAGCCGCGGATGCTGACAGCAGCGGCCTTGGCGACGTCAGACCCCCGCGGAACACGGATCCCCAGCAGGCCTGACTTGCCGTGCCTGACGACTCCCAGGGCCTTGAGCTCCACCGACTTCTGGAACGCGTCTGCCATCGTGATGGGCTGGTCCTCAGGGAACCACACGGTCTGATACTTGTCGGCGGTGGGCTCGTCTGCACCTACGTTGCTGAGGTCGTAGGTGGCACCGAGTTGCCCTGATCCCGCCAGGACCTTGTCGACCGCTTGGAGACTGACGCCGAAGGTGGCAGCCAGGGACCTCTTTCCGACGCCCGATCCAAACCTGCCTAGGCTTTTGCAGGGTTCGAGGATGGTGACGGCTTTAAAGTTGCCGTGGAAGAGGGCCTTGAAGGTGTCCTGGAGCTGGCCATCGAGCTCCTGGCGGCGAGCGTCTTTCTTGGACTCCTTGTGCTTTTGGCGCGCCTTGTCCTGTGGAGCGGAGTCGCCTCGAAAAGGGCCCTTGGCGCGTGGACCACCGTTCACGGGGGCACCTCCCGAGAACTGGTCCTCGAAGGCCTGGTGCATGGAGGGGACTGTGGCAATGGCCTCGGTCTCGTGTATGGTCGCCCGAATCCAGCAGACGTGGTCGGCGGGGTCGATGGTGGCGACGGCTACCTTTTCCGTGCAGGCGACCTCCTTGGTGCCCAGCTGGTACACGATCACGGGGACGTGCGTGTGGACCACTTTGGGCGCCTTGGGGTGGCGCTTCAGGACGGGGACGGCGAGCTCGGTACCGACGTAGTTGTCGTTTTTCGGGCCCATGACAGCAATCGCGAGCTGGCCCGTGGCTCGCTTGCCCTGCCCGAGGTGGTGTTGCAGCAGCCGTTCGCCACTCTCGAAGTCGTGGAGGCTGATGCTGGGCTTGTACGTCTTGCCGTCGTCAGGCGAGGTGGGTTCGGCAAGAACAGGGACCTTCCAAAAGGCAGGGTCCAAGGCGATGAATTGGGTGTCCGCAGCCTGAAGACGTGCGGAGCCCGATGGTGGGTGCGATGTGTCACCGCCAGTGCGCTTAGGCTTGCTGCGCTGGTAGTGGTCGAGCGTGTAGCTGATCTGGTTGGCGGCGCACATGCGGATAAGGGCGCTGCCGAACTTCTTCGTGTTGGACTTGTGCATGTCGTACTTTGCCTGGAGCTCGTCCGCGTTCAGTTCGGCTAGCCCGTTATAGGCGGCCGTGGGGCGGTCAGACCCCGCTTGCCTGAACGCTGCGATGCAGTCCTGCTTGCGTTGAAGGAGGGACCCTTCAGCAGCAGGGCGCGTGGGGCGGGAGCTCGGAGGCTGCTTTGAAGAGTGACGGCGCTCCGGCTTCTTGGGGGCCATTGCTGCGGGCACTCTGGTGCGGAGAGGTGACGCGAATCAGTAGGGTCCTGCTGGGACCCCTCCGGTCTCGCGAGGCCTGGGAGTCTGACTCCGAGGCGGGGCGCTTCGCGTCGTAGCTGCGGTCTGAGTGCAGAGCACTCTCGAGCCGAGACTAGAGAGAGAGAGAGAGAGAGAGAGAGAGAGAGAGAGAGAGAGAGAGAGAGAGAGAGAGAGTTCGAAGGTCGAAGTTTGAGAGAGAAAAGAGAGAGAGAGAGAGAGAGAGAGAGAGAGAGAGAGAGAGAGAGAGAGAGAGTTCGATATGAAAACGCCTCTCGCTCTCTCTCTCTCTCTCTCTCTCTCTCTATTTCTCTCTCTCTCTCTCTCTCTCTCTCTCTCTTTTTCTCTCTCTCTCTCTCTCTCTCTCTCTCTCTTCTTTCTCTCTTCTTCTCTCTCTCTATTTTTGTTTCTCTCTCTTTTTCTCTCTCTCTCTCTCTCTCTCTCTCTCTCTCTCTCTCTCTCTCTTCTCTCCTCTCTCTCTCTCTCTCTCTCTCTCTCTCTCTCTCTCTCTCTCCCGCGCCCCCCCCCCCGCCCCCGCCGAGGCGCAGTGAGGGGCGAGCTGCCAGGCCGAGAAGACGGCGACCTTCAAGGAGGACGAAGACAGGGTGGACTACAACGCGATGGAACTCGCGAGGGCTCGGCACTGCCCCGAGGCGCGGCTCGGGGTTCAAGGAAGAGCGGCTCCGTCTTCGCCAGGGCCCCAGGGGCTTCGCCGCGATCACCGTCGACGGTGAGGCGGTCGAGGCGCTCGCGGCGAACGCCGGCCTGCAGGCCGCGGAGCAGGGGGGCGGAGGGAAGGCAGCCACGCCGCAGCAGGCTCACCCGAAGGGCGGGGCGAAGAAGCGGCCAGCGGCAGCGCGGAAGAGGCCGGCGGCAGCGGGCGAGGAGGAGGACGAGGAAGAGGACGAGGGCGAGGCCAAGGGGGCCCGCGCCCGCGACGGCAGCGAGGGCGATTAAAAGGGGAAGAGCAGCCAGGAGACGGACGAGTCCGACCTGGAGGGCGCCGCGGGCGGCTCGAGCAAGCGGAGGCCGGCTGCGGCCGACAGGAAGCCTGCCGCGGCCGACGAGAAGCCTGCCGCGACCGACAGGAGCCCAAGCTTGGAGGTGGAAGAGGACTCTGTGAAAGGGGAAAGCCTGGGTTGTCATGTGGTACAAGGCAGGCGAGAAGAAGAAGGCGGCCGTGGCGATCCGCCAGGCGCACAAGCCGCGCAGCCAGGTGTGCCAGTGGACAGCGGGTGACTACTCCGAGGAGCAGATGCGGGGGGAGGCATTGGACATGGTCAGCAGGCCGCGCATGCGGGAGATCACGGAAGCGACCGTGAAAGCGCGAGGCGAGGAGTTACTGCGCGACAGGTTCTGACTGGCGGCGGCGGCGCGAGTAGCAGGGGGGGGCGGCGGCCGCGGAGGCGCGCGTGTAGCGCAGCCAGTTCTGGGCCACAGTCACGCGGCTGAAACAAGAGCTCGGAACCAGACCTTGCACCGCTCTCGACGAGGTCGGCGATGAAGGAGGGGGGCGAAGAGCGAAGGCAAAGGGGGGGGGGGGGGGCAACGCCTCCAAGACGAGAGCCCGCTCCCTGCACGCACGGGGGGGGGGCGCGCTGATCGACGGGGGGGGGCGACGCCCCCCGATGGAGGCTCCGCCTCCTGCTCGGCAGCGTCGCCCCCGACAGGAGGCCCCGCCTCCTGCTCGGCACCGCGTCCTATAGGAGGCGCCACCTCCTGTATCATCTTGCTCCGAACGGCAGCTGGATGCACGTTTTCATTCGCCCGCTGCAGGCGCGATCGCCCCTCGCGGGGCGCCCTCGCGACGCTCGGGGCCGCGCGGCCCCCCCCCAAGCAGAGCCCCATTGGCGGGGCCGCGGCGGCCTCCCGGGCAGCGCTGCTGCTCGCGGCGCCGGCGCAGCAGGCAGAAGGGGGAGGGGGGGGAGGGGGGGGCCTCGCCTCCTGGAGGAGGAGGAAGAGGAGGAGAAGGACGCAAGTCTTTCTATGCCCTTCCCCATCCCCCCTGCCCGCAGGCGGCGGCGATGTTTTGCGTCGCGATGGGCCGCCCGCCGCGTCCTGGCGGGGGCGACGGCGGAGGTCCGCCCGGCGGCGAGGGCCCGTTCAAGGACACGCTCCGGGACGGGCCCCCAGCTGCCGGCGAAGGAGGAGGAGGAGGGGGGGGAGGGCGACGACGACGGCATGATCCCCTTTGAGGGGGGGCCCGACGAGGAGCTGCAGTGGCTGCCTCAAGAGATGGGGAAGAGGGCGGCGCGCGCGTGGCTTAAAAGCCGCGGGGGGCAACAGCGCGTGCACTGCGGGCGCGATAAATTCGTGCACCTGCGCTTGAGCCACCAGTGCCAGCGCCGCAACATGGTCAACCACAACACGCACATGGCGACCACGGCGCGGCCGCAGGCGCGGAACCGCGCGGCGAAGGGGGCGCGGGGCAGCGCGAGCTCCCGGGGATACAGCAGCAAAATGCATACTTTCGCGCGGAGGCAACGCCCCCGTCAAGAACAATAGTTAAAAACGTAAAAAAAAAACATATACGCAAACATCAACGCCCAGGTCCTTGCGCAAGAAGCGCGAGATGGAGGAGGCGGCCGCTGCGGAGATGGAGGGCGCTGCAGCCCCTGCGCCGCGGAGGGCGCGGCAGAAGCAGGCGGGGAGGCATTCGAAGCTCAAACTTCCGAGTTCGACGCTCGAAATTCGAAAGTCGAACTTCGAACTTCGAACTCGAGACGGAGATGGTACTTGAGGAGGCGCTGCCCCCTGCAGCATCCCCTCTCCGCCCAGGCGAGCTCCGAGGCGTTGGTGCACCGCCGCCGCCGCCGCCCGATCGGAGGGCCGCCCTGGGCGCCGTCACGCGGGCCGCGCCCGCCTCCAGGGCCGCCGCCGGCTCGGCAGGCCCCGCAAAAGGCCGCCCCTAGGTGTGCAGCGGCGGCCGCCGAGCCTGGGCCAGCAGGGGGCGGTGGCGACGCGCCATCAGGAGCAGGGCCAGCAGGGGGCGGAGGCGCGCACCTGCAGGAGCTGCAAATGCTGCACCAGGAGCTCCTTCGAGAGCAACAGGAGACGGCGCAGCAGCAGCAGCCGCAGCCGCAGCACTGGCAGCAGCAGGAGATGCAGCAGCACAGGCTGCACCAGCAGCAGCAGCTCCAGCAGCGCGGGACCTGGAAGGCCTGCAGCAGCAGCTCCGGCAGCAGCTCCAGCAGCGCCAGCAGTTCGGGGCAGCAGCTGCAGCTCCAGCAGCAGGGGCTGCAGCAGCAGCAGCTCCCAGCGCGGGCTGGGGCAGGCCGGCCTCTTCGGCTTCGATTGGCCTGTCTCCAAGGCGCCGACCCAGGCTGCGCCGCCAAGCATAGCCCTGGCGGCGACAAGCAAGGCGCCGAGCGCAGCGCAGCCGCCGAGCGCAGCGGCGCCTCCCTGGACGGGATGGCGGGCCGCGCCGTCTTCAATGGGAGGTGACCTCCTGCAGAGCTCCCCGCCGCAGGTGCCGACTCGCGCCACGATGGCTGCCTGGCAGGAGACGGCCGCGCAACAGCCGCAATATCAACGGCAGACGGCCGCGCAGCAGCAGCACGAGCAACGGCGGGCGGCCGCGCAGCAGCAGCAACCGCAACAGCAGCAGCACGCGCAGCAGCAACACGCCGCCTGGGCTGCGCAGCAGCAGCAGGCGCGCCAGCAGCAGGCGGCGGAGATGCAGCAGGCGGCGGAGATGCAGCAGCAGACGCAGCAGCCTGCAGCCGCGGCAGCAGCAACAGCACCCGACGCCGACGCGGAGCAGCAACAGCCGCAGCAGCAGCAGCCGCATGAGCAACAGCAGCACCTGGACGCGCTGACCATCCCTCAGCAGCAGCAGAACATGCTCCAGCAGCAGGCCGCCGAGATCGCTGTGAGCATCCAGTCGCTGCGCTCAAGGCTCGGGTTGCCGCCGAGCGAGCACATCTGAGGCGATTGGGCCTTCGAGAGGTTTTCCTTCCAGGGCGGCCCCGCGTCGAGGCGACAAAAGGCTATGTTAGAATCGCCTCGTCGTGGGAGTGCCTTGGGAGGTCGAACTCCCGAGCGCCCCGCAGGCGGCGACGCGGCGACTGGAGGGCTGGGGGGGGGGCGGGGGGGGAGGGGGGGGGGGGTGTGAGGGGGCGCCGCCCCCTCGAAGAGCAAGGCGGACTCTTTCCCTCCACCTTCCCCTCTCTCTCCATTCCACTTGCCTTGCCACTTGTCCATCCCCATCGCCCCCCCTCTGTTTCTGCAGCTTCTCCCTCCCGTCCCTCTGCTGGGGAGGCGCGCGCCGCCGCGAGCGGCGTCCGCGGCGGCGACCTTCTGAGCCGCGCATTTGGCGAGGCCTTAGAAATCGCCATGGACATGGAAGCCGGAAGCGATATATATATATATATATATATACACACATGTGTATATATATATATATATATATGAATATATATATATATATATGATTGCGTTGGTGTTGAAAGCTGTGTGATTTAGTGCAGATCATGCAGAAGCTTGGTTTACTAAGCTGTCGACTGTCTAGGTTCGCATGTGTTGATATTATGTATGTTTTTATGTGCTTGTATGTTTTTGTAGTTGCGCGTGCTTCATTTGGCTTTTTGCTGTATTGCTTGGGGTATGTCAAGCGATTTTTGTGTTATCACTATAAAGGTTTTGCATTGAGGCTTGTAGGTTTAAAACATTTTTGCAGGTTTGTATTCGCGGTTTCCTTCTACTTTTGAGCTTGCTCCAACATCGGCGCGTTAAAAAACACGCGCTCGGCTTGCAAACGCAGAGGGGGAAGGGGCTGCGAGGCGCAGAGGAGGCGAATCCCCTTTTATTTTTAGCGGGAGGCAATGCCTCCTGCGCTGGAGGCTCAGCCTTCAGAAGAAGAGAAGATAAGATAAGGTTCAGCGTTTAACGAAACACAAGAGGAGCTTCGCGCTGGAAGGACCAGCGAAGGAAATTATTCAAATGCGTCGCTGTCCGACGCTTGCCGCAGCCCTCAGGAGTTCGGCGCCATGGCCGCCCGGCGCCCGGGCAGGGGCGAAAAGAAACGGGACGGAGGAGCGCGGGGGGGGGGGGGGGGGGGGGCGAGCGCCCGATTGGAAAGTACCACATCTGCAGGCTCGGGTTCGAGTTCCACTGCTGGAACGCCCGCGAGTCCGCTTCGCGCGCGTGGCGGCCGACCTGGGAGGAAGGGGGGGAGTGGAAATTAGGGCATAGGAAAATAAAATAGAGGAAGGGGAAATCGGGCCGTGCAGCACGCCAAACGCCCCCCCCCCCCCCCCCCCCCCCTTTCTTCCACGCAAACTCCAGCGCCTGCGTCGGGACATCCGGCATGGTGATCCACCCCTCCTGCTCCGGTTCCTCTGGGAGGGCGCGCGCAATTCAAACGGTTTTCCCTCCCCTCCCCTTCCTCGTTCTCCTCCTCTCCCCCGCGCTGGTGCTCTGGTGCGCCCAGTTTACCTGTGGCTGCGGGATCCCCTGCTTCTTGCGGCGCTCTTGGAACGGCACAGCCGCGGCGTTTTGCGACGCCTGACCGCGCGAGAACCCCGTCCAGCACGTGCTCACCTTCGACCCCGTGGCTCGAAAAAGCGCCGCGGACTGCAACAGAGATCGCAAACTCAGCCGAGGGGGCCCTCGGCGTTCGGACGGAGGTTGGAGGATGGGAGAGGAGAAGGGTGCGACGCCTCCTGCGTCGTGCGGCCGCGGAGGGCAGGCGCTGGAGGCCGCGCCTGTTCTTCGCAAGGGGCCGCGCCTCCTCGTTTATGCCGGGGCCGCCGCGCCGCCCGCGCCCGCCGCGGCCGTTTCCGAAGCTCGGCTTTCCAATATCCGTGAACCCTTGCGATTCTTTCGCTTGCGCAGAAGATTCGCGAGATGCTGTTGTTGCTCTCGCTCGCAAGCCCCCTTGCCTCGAGCACCTGCTCGGCGTGCATGGCGGCAAGGGCAGCGGGGGGAGCAAAGGGGAAGCAATCGGAAAACCGAAGGGCCCGCCTCCAGCGAAGAGCCGCCTCCAGCGAAGGCGCCCGCAGGACACGGCGCGGCTGGGGGGCCGAAGGGCCCGCCTCCAGCGAAGGGGCCTGGAGGAGACGGCGCAACTGGGGGCGCGGAGGGGCCGCCCCCGAAGGCCGAGAAGAGCTCGCCCCCCCGCCGCCAGATTCCCTGACGAACGCGCGAACCATGTTCCTCATGAACCACCTCCTGTACAACGCGAAGGATGGCAATGCCGCGAACGAATGCGGGAAGGCGCGCGGCCTTGCCCTTGCAACTTTCAAGCAGCTCGGCGACCAGAAGCGGAAGGAGTTCTACGACGCGTTTATGACCGAGAAGGGCGAGAAAGACGCCAAGATGCTGAACGGCCTGACGCGTTCCTTCGCAGCCGC